TTAGGGTTAGGGTTTAGGGTTTTAAGATTACAGGGTTTTGCAAAGACTCGTAAAGGATCCGTAGCCACCAACTGCCAGACTTCTGGAACCAGGTTCCGGCTTTAATATAGGGGCCTTAATGGTTAGAATGGGGTTGGGGGGGGTATACTATACTATAAGTGTAATAAGGAACCCCCAATCCCAAAACCCTATTCTCATTATTAAGGCCCCCGCATTAGCCTGCACCCCCTCTGGTAAACAAGAGGCCTGGGCCCAAACGGTTCGATCTTCAAGCCCTGGACTCTAAATACACCCTAGGCGCTGGACCCTAAACCCCAAACCCTGGACCCTAAAACCCTAAACCCTAAACCCTAAACCCTGGACCCTAAAACCCTCAACCTTAAACCCTAAACCTGCGGCTCGAAACGACTGAACTTGACAGCGATCCTTCAACCTTAAGATTTCCTTAGAATACCATAGGGTTTAGGGTTAATACGAAAGTTATAGAGACCCTATACAAAAAAGTAGGTTCTGGTAGGTTAAGGTTTCAACCTATATAGACCTGGAAAGGTTTAGGGATCCTGATCCCTGAACACCAAACGCCCCAGTAACCAAGCACATCATGTTCGGGGAACAACTAAAGGTTTACCTGTGTGATCATATGTGGGCTGTTGTAGTCCCGGCTACTTACTCAACATACCCTAAACCCTAAACCCTAAACCCCGATCGAAAGAGGAAGTCCAATGGAGTCCAGGGCAGATTCCTGAATTAAGTGGTAGCTTAGAGCGCCCCATGCAGCCCGTGCAAACATCTCAGCTAAACCTGGGTTTAGGGTTTAGGGTTTAGGGTTAAAGCTCATTAACAAAACCAAACAACCCTGCATAAACTTGCTAGCATCCTCCTTTACCCTTCGGGGAACCCTACTAAATCCCGAGATAAACGCTTCAAGGAAGCCTTAACGGAGCCCCTTAAGCCCAGAGAGCCCAATACCCGTTAAACAAGGAATATATCTTAAATTATAGGGGCTTAACATTATGATTCTTAAATTATAGGGGCCCTAACATTATGATTTAAAGTATATTCCTTAATTCAGGGGTATTGGGCTCTCTGGGAGGAACCTTTGAAGAACACTTTCCAGGCGATCCCTGGACCCGAGGTCACTGCACAGCAGCCTTGGCCAAAGCCGAAGGCAGCAGCCAACCACCTCGCACAGAGGGCTTAGGGCCTGAAGGGCACAGGGTTTTATAGGGTTTAGGGTATAGGGTTAGGGGCTTAGGGCCTGAAGGGCGTAGGGTTTTAGGTTTTAGGGTTTAGGGTATAGCGTTAGGGGTTTGGGGTCTGAAGGGCATAGGGTTTGAGGGTTACAGGGATTAGGGTATAGGGTTTGGGGTTTAGGGTCTGAAGGGTATAGGGTGTAGGGTTCAGGTTCCATAAAACATGGGGCATAGGGGTGGGATTTGAGAAAGGGCTGTGGAAAGGTTTCATACAACTTTACAGAAACCCTGGCCCCAGGACAGTCCTTTCTGTTCTGATGAGTCTGCCTACAAAAACAAGAGGCTCCATATCCGGGTTTAGGGTTTAGAGTTTAGGGTTTAGGGTTTCTAAACCCTAAACCCTAAACCGAGGGGTTTACATAGGCTTGCTGAGGTCTTGTCATGTGTATAAGGGCTTCAAGCTGTCTGTGTTAGTCTTTACAGACATGCTCCAAGCTTCTGGCCGACGGGAAGGTGCGCATTTGTTAAGGTTTATGTTCAGTTAATTTAATAATAGTAACAGTACCTGTCTCTAAGTATAACCCTGATAGTCTTAATAACAGTAGTGATGACGTCAATGTAAGGCGATGACACGGACTTTAACCCTAAACCCTAAACCGTTTAAGGTACGTCTTGGAGGAGCTGCAGGTCTCCGCAAAAGGATTCAACATTTCTGTGTCTATGCGAAAACTTCAGGTCAGAAGCTGTTGAAAACACCCATGTGCCACTTGCAGTGTTTCGGGTGTAAGGTTTCGGGTGCAAGATTTCCTAATTGCGGTTTCGGACATAGGATTTGGGTATTTGGGCTTTGCTTTCCGGGCATGTTTTAGGGTCAAGATTTGCAGTAGGGGCACGTACCCAACCCGCATGCTGCTGTGTGCAGGTAATTAGGTACCTTAATTCTTGCCAAGTAGTACTCAGTACTTCAAGCAGCGAGGGGCGCCCTGACAGTTAGGGTATCGGAGGCTGCTTCGGTGCTTAGCCTTTCGGGTTTAGTCAAGGGATTGCAGATCAAAGCCTTGCTCCGAATTCAAAGCACCTCCTAGCCTCAATGTGCGAAGTCCCTCCTCACGGAAGCCTTGGAAGAAGCCACGACGAACTCCAACACAAACGGAAGGCATGATAATATTGACTATAGTGGTCTGGTTCTGTGCACGTTCATATTTTGAATAGGTTGTTACATATTTATAGATATGTTTACATGCACATACACCGGCATGCTTTTTGATGCACGGCAGCGCTAGTAGCCTTCGGCGATCCCTCGCCATATTTGCATACAGTGCTGGCTGCCCTGGAGACAGTTGCAGGTCTTCTCGTCACCCCCTCTACCCACCCACTCTTTCCGGATGATTTGTCCAAACTTCTTCCAATCCCCGGTCTGCGCAGCTTTTCTCAAGGAGTTCCACATGCCGGGGGGGTGGGTCTCGATCCAAAGCCACTGCAGGAGCTCCGCCTTCGACGAGTTTGCGTTTGACTTCATGAGCTTCTGGCGAAAGCCCGCCTGCCCGCGATCTGAAGCAACCCAGTGAGCCCACGCTTGCCGGGAACGGTCCCTGGCCTCGCACAGATTGCCCTGTCCTTCCTCCTCCTCCGCCTCCTGCTCCTCCTCCAACTCCTCCGTTTGATCCTGAACGCGGTCATCCTGCTCGTCGTCAAGGCATGGCCTCGCATCATGGATGGTGTAGTCGGCAGCTGCGCCTTCGGATCCTACCCAAAACACGTGATGCTTGGCTTTGTCAAACCGGAAAAGCTCTGGTAGACATGCGACCTTCTTCTTGGTAAGCTCTTTGAAGCCAACCTGGGAGTTTCCGAAAAACTAGGGACCCTAATATAGTACCCGAAATAGTATAGGATCCTTATTATGAGGACCCCTAAATACGGTACCCCTAATTTTCGGAAACTCCCACCTGAATCTCATGCCACTTCAGGCCATCCCGACGCTGAAGCCTTTAGGGTTTAGGGTTTAGGGTTTAGGGTTTAGGGTTTAGGGTTTAGGGTTGAGGGTTTAGGGTTTAGGGTTTAGGGTTTAGGCCTCTTCACAGCTGCGCCGACCCAAGGAGTCTGCGCCAGATGGACTTCCACAGAGAGCCGCAGGTATCCATCATCCAACAGCTGGATCTCCTCAAGTTGTCGGACATCGTCTTTCCTTAGACCCAGGGAAAGAAAAGGTAATATAGGGGCCTTAAACATCGAACTTGCAAAAACTGCTGATCTATACACGCCACAACAGTCCTTCCTGTAAAAGTTAGAATAAGGTTTTGGGGCTGGCCCACTATACATATAATTATCATAAGGCTTCCCCCCAAAATAGTATAGGTTCATTATATTTAGGCCCCTACATTCTGAGCTTCCAGGCATCTTAAAACAAGGGCTAGGCCACAGGCTCTCCCTTTAAAGTGAGCAGGCCAGGTGGGTAGTTCTCTAAATTAGGGTATCTTTTGGGGTTAAGGGTTTAGGGTTTAGGGTTTAGGGTAGTTCTCTAAATTAGGGTCTCTTTTAGGGGGTCTTGTTTATATTACTTCCGGGATCGAAAAAAGGGGCCCTACTTTCAAGAGAGGGAGGATCTAAGTTTGCTAAGCTTCTTGGGGGCCTTGGCGCCTCCAAGCCTCTTTGTGAACTCCTCCCAGCTCATGGGCCCATGCTTGTTCAAGGCAAGGAGGCCGAGCTGCTGCCAGTCTTCTTGTGCCATACCCGGAGGGTTTAGGGTTAGGGGTTTAGGGTTTAGGGTTTAGGGTTTAGGGTTTTAGGGTTTAGGGTTTAGCCGGGTTTAGGGTATAGGGGGCTTTACTCACTACCTCATGAAACCTGGCCTGAAAGGGAGGACTCAAAGTGGTGATGTACTTGGCTTAAGGCACGGGTTCAATGACTTCTTTTGACCAGGCCACGGTGACTACAATAGAGCTTAAATCGTAAAAGATGTGCCGTCTAAGACACCAAAACCCTACTCCCTCAAAGGGCTTCGAGCTCGGGCATTCAAGGCTTCCGTGCGCCGTCGGCTTCTTCGCTTGCAACTGACGCTCTGAGCTGTGCGGGAATCAAAACCGAAAGCTGGCGGTTTTAGGATTTCATGAAGCTTTGGGTTTGGGGTATTCCGGGTTGAAAACCCAGATTTTGCGGCGTCTGGGCTACTCTCTTGTCTTATAAGTTGTTGTGATTGTTTCTAGTGTTCCTCAGGTTTGCACTGTCACGATTACTACTAAGAGTATTCACCTGAAAGTTACGACACGGTGCAGTTGGAGTTCTGATGAGTTCAGGGTTTGAGAGCAGCGTCGGCGAAATGGACGCTCGGGCTTACACAGCCTTGGATGCCAACGCGTCTTGCTGTAATAATACTTACCTCAGACGGACAAGCAGTCAAATGTCTTCAGGATTTGAAAAGCAATCACATAAAGAACCACCAAAACATTCAAGTTTGTCCATTGGCGAAGCACAATTTTCTGGACAACATGTCTGAAGGAACGGAGGGTTGATAACTGGAAGGTCGTGAGATCATGCTGATTTGCAGCAGAAACACAAGTGCACATATTCAGGCATTTGGGGCTTTTGGGTAAGGCAAATGCGGCGTCTTGGCAAGATTGTGGGATTGTGGACTTGTGTTTTGTTGACGTAAGTGATCTAAAACAAACTTCCGTCAGGATTTTGGTGCTTGCTGCCAGCCCTGGTTTGAAGGGTCTCGGTTCTTCGGCTTTGACGAGGCTTCGCAGTGTTTACACACGAAGCCAACGTCACCCCAAACGATCCCCTCGATCCAGAAGCCCAAATCTTTACCCTAAGATCCCAAACAGCCCAAAAGTAGGTACATTTATATACTGTAGACCCCAAAGAAGATTCGAGTACTTGGAGTCTGAATGCTAGAAATGACATGCCTCGGGTTGGGGCTTGGCTTTGGGGTTTAGGGTTCCCTAAGGGTCCATGTGCCCAAACAGTATATACTTTGGCCCCACAGTACCTATATAGGGACTACTTTAAGGCCAAGGTATATACTATTTGGGTACATGGACCCTTAGGGGTTGTTTGGGGGTTCCGTTTGAGGCTCGATTCGGGTGGTGCACGCACTCGCTTAAGGCTGCGATAAAGGTACTGGGCTTCTATATGGAGATTTCCGAAAATAGGAGACCCTAATGTAGTACCCTAATTAATAGGATCCCTATTATAAGAACCCCAAAGTAAGGTACCCTAATTTTCTGAAACTTCCATATTGCACCCCGAACCTTTATGGATCCCTTATGATCCCTTCTGGAACCCCTGCGATTCCTTCTTGGGCCCCCTCTCCCGCCTGCATCTTTGTAGCAAGTGCTCATCAACCGAATCGGAAATGCCGTCACGCTGCATGGGATCCTCCAGAAGCCAAGAGGCTTTAGGAATCAAAGCTCAGGTTTCGGGTTCTTGGCGTAAGGCTTAAGATGTATTCTTATGGCATTACACGCCGACATAGTTCGAACCTGGAAACGAGGGGGTGGGGTTTTGGCTGTGGTGTGGTGCTGCTGGGGTGTAGATTGGCTAGGTTGCGGGTGTTTGGATAAGGGTTTTGAAGCCTTCCTGCTCGTACAGTTCGTGCTCGTACAAAAATATACTACAATATATTGATGATACAACAGTATGAAATACCATGATATGTATTTATGAAAGTTTAAAACATACGAAACATACTATGATATACTAGTATTGAAACATCATAAAAGTTACTGTAATATACTATGATATACTAACATATACCAAAAGGTACTATAATATGCTATGCTTGGGTTTTCAGGAGCATGCAGGCTTATTGTGCGCATCCCTCAATGTGAAAGAACGCAGATAAAGCCCCCAAACCCCAAACCCCTGAACCGAATACCCCAAACCTAAAAGCCTACACCCACAACCAACAACCCAACACTCCACAACCCCAAAACCCTAAACCCCAAACCCTAAGCCTAAATCCCGAAGCCCAAAACCTTGAACCATGCAACCCTAACAATCTCTAATTCCAAATCCCCAAACCCAAAAGCGCCCAAGTGCCTAAGTATCATATGCTCTCCCAAGTACTGGTAACAGTCATAAAGTAAAAGTAGAAGTGGTGGTAATCGTTTCGTAGCAATAACCTTGTTTTGCATCAGTAACAACCTACAACACGGGATCATCAACTCAAGTAACTAGTTACTGGGTCCTTTGGGCCAAACTTTGCGCCCTTGGGGAAAAGCCCAGAAGCATAATCTCCCCAGGAAACTCGCGAAGGCAACACACCCTGCCGCAGCCTCGTTCCATCACGCGGCGTGGTACCAAGCCGGTCCAGAATAGCCTAGCAGCTTTCATGGGATGCATGTACCTATACAGCATCTACTTTGACCCTAGAGAGTTTCGTCGATATATATATATATAATATTATTATACACACACATGTGTATGTGTGTGTATATATATATATATGGTTTGCATTTTGTTTGTTATCTCTTTACTTATTCATGTGCTTATATTCATGTAGATATGCATATGTATACGCGTATGTGCATATGCATGTCTATGCACATATAGATAGAGAGAGAGAGAGAGAATGAGATAATGAGAGGATAAACATAAATAGTAAAGTCGAGTTCTTTTGGGTTCCGAACTTCCGCTAGGCACCCAGCTGGAGGCCTGTGAAACTTAAGTAGTAGGTTGAGTCTTAAATAAGTAGTACGGATTCGAATACTTCCAAGCCCAACCATGAGCAACTTTCAATACCCCCTGGTCCTTCGAGCAGCCTCCTTTGTCATGGTTTGATTGTGTTGGGATGAGCTTCCAGGGTTCAGTGCTAAATACAGACAACCCACCCACACTCATGACCCAAATCCGCAAGCCTGTATTAATCGAATGTGTCTGATGCAACCCTTTCTGTACATGGCTGACAAGGATTGACAGACCCACCTCTACTCTGCCAGACACCACATCTGATATCCAAAGCCGTATTCAATAACAGCAGACATTCAGGCGTTCGCATGTGGGGTTTGGGGTTTCCGTGGTTGCGGGTTCGGCGTCAGGCTTCAGAGTTTACGACTTGGGGCTTTGCCTCTAAACCCGAATCAAATAAGTCGGGCAACTTCTTCCTGGAGTCCTTCAAAACCAGCACATCGCGGCCGCCGTGTCGCTGATTTCGCAAAAAAGCTCGGGGTCAGGGTTTAGATAGGACCCGAACTGTTCGTAGATGTGACACACCATATCTAGTAAGCTTATAGTAACCCATATAGTAACCCTTCCAGTAACCTCATTATCGATGTTTGGGAAAGTCTAATACCTTGGAGCTATGAATCGTAGACTAGGCTCGAGAAAGGATGCGACACCTAATTAAGAAACGCTGGACCTACAACACCAAATTATTAGGATCCATATAAGGGGCCCCTGATTAAGACCCAGGGTTTCTGAATCAGCTTCCTATATTATCTGACAACGCAGGCCTACAGCGCTTGCTGAGGTTAAGCGATGTTTCACGGCCCAATCAATACCGGTTACTACACTTCAGTTATGCGCAAGTCAAAAGATGCGGTCCAGGGATCATACCTGACTGTCTGGGCAGCTGTGCTTCTGAAAAACCTGGGGTCAGCTGCCGAAATTGTGAAGTAGAAGCCAAAAGGTTGGAACATCATTATCCTGATGCCCTTAAAGTAAAACAAAGCGGATCCCAGCGATAATCATCCTTAAACCATGTTCCTACATTCGGGGTTTCACTTTAATCTAAGGTTCATGCAGGGTAGTTTGGTCCAGAAGCCGAAATGGCTGTGCATGAAACCGACCCATGCATTGCGTCCAAACCATGACTCCAAAGGGCCCCCAATCACACATACGCCCTTCTCTCTGCAATCCTGATAAACCCAACAGAAGACAAATGACTATATTTAAATACCAATAAGGCGTAAACGCTGAACATGAAAGATGTGGTCTCATATTTTGGCCTAGGTTGAGTTGCAAAGTATCATGAGCCGTGCAAGTAAGGTGTAGTGCTCAGAGCGGCTGTAGGAGGTTGTGTTTCAAATGTTGTGGCGGTCATTTCTGTGATATGCCACCTGCTCAGCCGTGACATTCGTCAGAGAGCTGTGGAAGAAGAGTGTTTAGAACGGAAGCAACGGCTAAGTCTTCTTCATCTAGTCTAAACCCTAAACCCTTAACCCTAAACCCTAAACCCTAAACCCTAAACCCTAAACCAAGTGTGGAAAGCCCAGGGTCTGAAACTCCCC